ATTTCAATCATGTTGACAAAGCGTAAAAAAAATACCAAACATTTTGGATTGGTTTGTTAGGATACGATTATTAAGGTTGCAAGTGCAAGTGTTTTGAAATCGATTCAAATTTTATTCGCGTTAAACTTTGTCTCAAATTGAGCTTCTGTAAACTGAGCTTTCTCGTCAGCCTTTTAATGAATATTGGTATATGCTGTAGTGGTTTGCTGGACTTTTTGGCATTTATTGTATTACTGCATTTTCCATGTGGTTCTTTCAACGTAAAGTTCGTGTGTCTCAAGTTTGGGGGCAATTGCACACTTTCGGCCAACTGGGTCACGTTCGCGCAAACTTCGGCCTAAATCACATTTTCGGGCAATTGGTCACGTTCGGGTATTTTTCGGCTAATTGCACATTTCGGCCAATTGGGTCGTCCGGGAATATCGTCCGGGTCGGTGGACCAGAATGTCATGCACTTTCTTATCCTCTAAGACTCGGGACCGAAAAACCCTGCTTCAACATCTGTAAGATATCGGCAATTTTAAACAAAAAACATGAAATGAGTAATAGCTGAAGAAATGAGGTAAACCTTTTCCGTTTAACATGATATCAAAACGGTCGTGAGTCATAAATTTTCATTTAGAAATAGTTTGTTTTGAAAATTTATGAAGAGCCTATCATTGAAACGGGCGGAAATTGTAAATCTAGGGTTGACCTAAACATAAAACTTGTTAGAAAACCAATTCGAGATGATCGAGGTATGTTTGTATCTCTCCAGAACCAAGAGAAAGCCAGAAAATTTTACCCATGGAAATTTTACCAATGCAAATCGAGCTTTACCTTATTTGAAAGATGAATGAATTATTTTGAAAGATGAGTGATTTTAGTTTCTATGTCTTTTATCTCCTTTTTTGTCGGTTAGTTTTTCATGCTAAGTATGGTTTTCTCGCAAGTAATTCGATGCTTGGCTTCTTTTCACGTTGCAAAGTTATTAAAGGTGCAAGTAATTCAGTTGTAAGGCTTTGATTTTTTAAGCAATTTTTGTATTTTTTTAAAGAAAAAATACAGGTTTTTTTTCCCGATTTGTCTTTTAGTTTTTTCCCGTTGCTTCAAACTTGATCTTCAAACATTCATAAAATGAAATTTCGGATAACGTTCTTTTCGGGTCAATTTTGGTAGATGTAGTTTTCCGAATCGGAAAAAAAAATGTTTTCATCGACATGCGTTATGCGTTCCATTTTATGTATGCTGCTTTACAATACCATGTTTGCTTGGTATCACAAGTGGAACTAAGCTCCGTGTCGCCTCTGTGTAATAGTAATTACTCTTGGCTTCACTTAAATTACGAAATTTTTAACAGCCGTATTTTTGAAGGTTTTTACTGAGGCGGCATCATGTATTTTCGATTTGATTTTAATTTCGTGTGCTCTGCTGATGCCTGAATTTGAAACATTAATCAATATCTGCCGGCATTAGAGGTTTTGAATTTTGAAAAAGTTTTTTGTTAAGAACACTGTGGATGAAATTTCAATCATGTTGACAAAGCGTAAAAAAAATACCAAACATTTTGGATTGACTTGTTAGGATACGATTAAGGTTGCGAGTGCAAGTGTTTTGAAATCGATTTTCAAATTTTATTCGCGTTAAACTTTGTCCCAAGTTGAGCTTCTGTAAACTGAGCTTTCTCGTCAGCCTTTTAATGAATATTGGTATATGCTGTAGTGGTTTGCTGGACTTTTTGGCATTTATTGTATTACTGCATTTTCCATGTGGTTCTTTCAACGTAAAGATCGTGTCTCAAGTTTGGGGGCAATTGCACACTTTCGGCCAACTGGGTCACGTTCGCGCAAACTTCGGCCTAAATCACATTTTCGGCCAATTAGTCACGTTCGGGTATTTTTCGGCTAATTGCACATTTCGGCCAATTGGGTCGTCCGGGAATATCGTCCGGGTCGGTGGACCAGAATGTCATGCACTTTCTTATCCTCTAAGACTCGGGACCGAAAAACCCTGCTTCAACATCTGTAAGATATCGGCAATTTTAAACAAAAAAAACATGAAATGAGTAATAGCTGAAGAAATGAGGTAAACCTTTTCCGTTTAACATGATATCAAAACGGTCGTGAGTCATAAATTTTCATTTAGAAATAGTTTGTTTTGAAAATTTATGAAGAGCCTATCATTGAAACGGGCGGAAATTGTAAATCTAGGGTTGACCTAAACATTAAACTTGTTAGAAAACCAATTCGAGATGATCGAGGTATGTTTACATCTCTCCAGAACCAAGAGAAAGCCAGAAAATTTTACCCATGGAAATTTTACCAATGCAAATCGAGCTTTACCTTATTTGAAAGATGAATGAATTATTTTGAAAGATGAGTGATTTTAGTTTCTATGTCTTTTATCTCCTTTTTTGTCGGTTAGTTTTTCATGCTAAGTATGGTTTTCTCGCAAGTAATTCGATGCTTGGCTTCTTTTCACGTTGCAAAGTTATTAAAGGTGCAAGTAATTCAGTTGTAAGGCTTTGATTTTTTAAGCAATTTTTGTATTTTTTTAAAGAAAAAATACAGGTTTTTTTCCCGATTTGTCTTTTAGTTTTTTCCCGTTGCTTCAAACTTGATCTTCAAACATTCATAAAATGAATCGGAAAAAAAAATGTTTTCATCGACATGCGTTATGCGTTCCATTTTATGTAGGCTGCTTTACAATACCATGTTTGCTTGGTATCACAAGTGGAACTAAGCTCCGTGTCGCCTCTGTATAATAGTGATTACTCTTGGCTTCACTTGATTACAAAATTTTTAACAGCCTTTTTTTTAAGGTTGTTACTGAGGCGGTATCATGTATTTTCGATTTGATTTTAATTTCGTGTGATCTGCTGATGCCTGAATTTGAAACATTAATCAATATCTGCCGGCATTAGAGGTTTTAATTTTTGAAAGAGTTTTTTTTGTTAAGAGAATTGTGTTTTATACATAGAAAAGTCCAGAAATTTTTTTGAAACAAAAGTTTCTATCCTTATAGCTGTAGAGATTAGAAACCATCTATATAGCGTTCATTGAAAAATGTTACTTCCCAACTTCGAAGTTCCGAGAAATAGGCGTTGAATGAAATTTCAATTATGTTGACAAAGCGTAAAAAGAATACCAAACATTTTGGATTGACTTGTTAGGATACGATTATTAAAAGGTTGCGAGTGCAAGTGTTTTGAAATCGATTTAAATTTTATTCGCGTTAACCTTTGTCTCGAATTGAGCTTCTGTAAACTGAGCTTTCTCGTCAGCCTTTTAATGAAGAATGGTATATGCTGTAGTTGTTTGCTAGAGTTTTTTGGCATTTATTGTATTACTGCATTTTCCATGTGGTTCTTTCATAGCAAACTTCGTGTGTCTCAAATTTGGCGGCTTTATTGCCGCTTTGAAAAATGGGCAATCACGATTTTGTTCAATCTGTCTGAGTCTTGTATTTTTAAAAAGGAGACGCATAGAGTGTTTCATAAATAAAATCTTTTTATTTCAGTTACATATATAACAGATGCAATTGAAATTAAAATGACTTAAATTATGAAACACTGTGCGTCTCCACTTTAAAACAGCAAGACTGCATTCCGATTCAACGATATCCAGTTTGCCCATTTTTCAAAAGATGTTCAATAACATATTCATTTTGTGTTCTATTCGACAATTTCCAGAAAATACCATGTTTCTGATGTTATTAATACATTCCTGTGCGTGTTCGTGCATCTATGTCATGAACAGTTCTGCTTTTTTGAAATTTCTGGTTGCAATTTTTATAAAAAAACGTCGCGTTCTTCGAAAAATTAAATTCTTATTTTTTTTAGCATAATTTCATTTTTCTTTAAAACTCAGTGTGTCTGATATGTATTTTGTGTTCAAGTGCCGTGGTGTATTCCGAAGTGAGAGAACAATCAATTGTTGTGTGCTTTCGATTTTTTAAAAAGAGTTTTTTTAAAGTAATGTTTTTTTTTCAATTCTGAAAAAATAATGAACATCATTCTTAATATATAAGTTGTCCTAACTTCAGTATTTTAAGGTTTACGCTATTACTTCCAAATCTAGAATGAAAATTGAGCCTTCTGAGTTTTTAGCTAATGAAAAATGAATTGTTTTTAAAAGAAAAACCGTATATTTTTAATACCTAAATAGAATGCAAAAACTGTTGTATTCTCTGAAACTATTACCGAGTTTATTGAAGTTGCGAGTTCGAATTGAAGTTCTGGACTCGCAAACCTTGATGTTTCCAGAAATAGGTTTATATAAAAATGATCTCAAAAGATAAGAATAATTCCAAATCTTCTGGTTAATTTTTTTCGCACACTTTGTTGATTTGCATGCAGCAAAAGCTAAAAAAAATTTTCTGAAGTTATTCTAAAAAAATTACCAATAAGCATAAAGTTCCAAAAATAATAATAAGGAAACGGATGTGTATAGCAAGTGTATTGAAATCGGGTACATTCTTGGGACTGCAGTGGCCTGCAGTTAGATTTTAGCCAGGAGCCCAATTATTTGGAAATTGTCAGTTTTTTCTTTAGTATATTTTAGTTATCTGGCTACTTTTTGTCCGCTTATTTTTTTTTCGTCGATTTTTGTTTTTATAGAATAGTTTGAATAGTTTTTATAGAATAGTTTTTATAGAAAAATTTGAAGGTTTTTATAGAATAGTTTGAAATCTTAGTTTTTATAGAATAGTTTGCCTCTGTTTGAAACCTTGCGAGAAAAAATTCTGGTTACTTGGTGCACAAGAATACGTGACGAATAGCCAGGGTACGTTTCCAAACGTAAATTTAAACATGAAATTTTGGATATAGCTCTAGAAGTTTTGCATTTAGTATTGGTCTTCACTATATACCGGAACATATTTTCTTTTCTATTTTTCTTGGTTAATTCCAATTCGACACGTTTTTTTCTTTCTTTTGTTTATTTCAGTTTTTATTTAAGCATATGTTATTTGTTCGTTTTTTTTTGCGCGCGAGTTTTTTCCATTTGTTGGAAATCATTTTACGTTTTTGCAGTGACTGCCTTACACTACCGGTTTGTTTAACTACTGTCTCCTGGCAATAAAAATAAAAAATCTTTTGAAAATGCTTCTTTGTTTTTATTGTGCTTGTTTTAAATAGCCGATTTTGCACTTTCATTCCCATTATTATTTTTCGAATTTATGGCCTATTAAACTATAGATATTCAGAGGTTTCACTGTTTAGCCAATAGAGCTGAAACTGCTCACTTAGACCCGAAAAAAAATATACAAGTTATATTGCATTCTACTCGTTCCAATCAATTGATTCTCTAGCGTTTCTATTCAGTTGAATCATGTTTTAAAAACGGTGATTCAGTGCAATTTCTAGAAAATATCCGTTTTAATAGTTATCGTTGCAAAGTCAATTAATTCGTTTTTGTTTTGTATTCACTCCGATTTTACGAGCTATATAAAACTATTAAAAATTGGTAATAACGTCTGATCATGTTTCTCTTTTTGGTTTTCGCCTCTCCTTTTTTATAGTCATTCAATTCAACGAAGAACTATAGCTACCATAAGTACACAAATGCTCTGAAAAAGAAATGACCACACAGTAAGTAATGGTCAAATAATCACCAAGTTACTGCGAACAACTTTCGAATAGAGCAACAGCACAAAAACTAAGTCAAGCCTGCATTATTATTACATTGCTCACGATTCTGGCTGCTTGAATACTCCTTAAATCTAAATAGTCTACCAGTTTTACATTTTGGCTCGCATTTTGCTGTTTTTTTTTCCTCGTGGTTTTTGAAGATAAACCACGCGATATCTACAATTGTTTTGGAAATGAAGTTGCTGATTACTTCCTTAATTATATCTTCCTTCTTGATTTCCAAGCATGCGTCGACTACAAACCCTGCGATCAGTAAGTTCTTGATTCATTTCAGTTCAACTAACCCAGTTAGTGTCTTGTTTTCTGTTAATGCGAATGGATCTGAAGCAAAGAGCAGCGACCTCAGGCATTTCAATTCAAAAATATCATCTTTCACCGGCTATCTTTTAATGGCCAATTTTAAGGTCGAAGTTTTGCAATGCAACATTCTTCTAAAAATTGAAGTTCCAACAAAATGAACGTCGTCAAAATAGTTTGTCAGATGTTTTTTTAGTTTGATAATTTCATGTTGAATTCGGCCTTCTTAATTTTGCACAAATGCACATAATTCTTAAAAAAATAAAGGATTTCCTGTTATTTTTTCCGTAGAAAGAGCGATTTATTTAGGGTGATCAAAAGCTTTCAGACTGAAACACTAAGCTTTAAAAAATGAACAGAAATTGGCATCCAATTTTAATTCTATTAAAGTTTTGACAATATTTAAACTCTCATTTTCACTCATTCAAGCAGCTTATTTCACCTAATTCAATCGCCCTTACAAGGAAAAAAAAACAAAAAGTTAGTTCAAAAAATAAAAATATGTTCAAGCTTCTGCTCATCCTGTATAATTCAGTGTGAAAACTGAAAATATTCAGACCAGATTTTCTTTCATTTTATTTTCTTAAAATCTGAATCATGACGACCATTAGGGCTTCAAAGTGATATCTCCATACGAGCCTAACTAATCAATATCTATACGCAGGAGTATGAACAGCACAGACGCAGAAAAACACAGCACCCCTTAATGGTGACTATATGGCTACTACAACAATCACAAAATGATAACCAATTTGGCCTCACGTGCTTTTTCGAGGTGGAAAAAAACGGCCGAATTCAAAACATCCTACGTCATAGTTCTTTCCTTTCACTTGGTGAATTGGTCGGAACAAAAATCTTAGGCAGAGATGGACGTCAAAGAATAGTTTTGGAGATTTTCAAGAACATTTTAAGAAAAAACCGACTCTGAACCAGGAGTGCTTTTTGCGAAATTTACTTCCACGCCACTCAAAAGATCCGGCTCAGGATTTTTTTAACAATATAGTCTAAACGCCTCCCTTTGCCTGATAGTGCTCAGTGTTGGCAGAAAACACACTTGTTTTTTTCACGTGTTTTTTCCATTGTTCTTTTTGCGATTGCGATACGCAAGAGTGTTGTTCAAAAGTTCTAGAAAAAACCTGATTTAGAAACAAAACAATGATTTAAAAGTTTTTTGTTCAAAACTTCGTTTCTTTTTTAAAAAAAAAATATTTTTTTTTGTTAATCCTGATAGCGTCAATGTAAACTATTTTGAGGAGGCGAGTGAAGAAAGTGTTCAAAGTTTGGCTTAAGGCAAAAGGTATTCAAGAGTATTTAGTGTCATGAGGAAACTACTTCTCATGCTACTCTTATAAAATTGAAGTCATCCCCACTCGCCCCACAAAAAAACTACTATATTTCTATTTCTAGCTGTGGTGGCTAATTTAGATTTTTTCTTTTTTCAATGGCCCCAGCCCTGCACTCTGCAACATATGCTTTAGCGTAAAAGCGAGAATTTTTATTACTTTTATCGGTGCGGGTTAAAAAACTTAAAACTTTATAGCTCAATATTTTTTTTATATGGTAACAGTTTTGTTTTCGGCCCAATATGGGTCGACTCAAATTTTGTTGCCTTAGTTGCCGCTCGGTTATTGTTTCTCAATGCTTTTGCAGACTGTTAATGAGCATCAACTCCCTCCCCCATTGTGGTACATAGTAAAGAATAACCACTCCTACATAGAACTAATTCAATGGTTAAGCTAAGCATATTGTGATTTTGAAAATCTTCATCTATTTCTAGCCGATTGCATTTGTTTTTACAGAAAAAGATCCCAAATTTGTTCAATTAAGAAAGGACACTTGTCTCTTAAGCTTTTTTGTTTTTAAGCTCTGAATGAGTCAACAGACTCGACTCTGACTCTTACAATAACGGTCGACAGTGGAGATCCAGTTGTGGGTGATATCACAATTAGCCCTACTTCGATCCCAGCTGCGGACATTTCTGAATCAACCACAACCGATAACCAATTCACATTCAGTGGACTGCTACATGGGACATGCTATTCCATCTCTTACTTGACAACAACAACTAAACAAGCATGCACTAGTAAGTTGAGGACTCCACAATTTTAAGGAAAACGTCGTTTCTCGCAAGTTAAAAATATACAATCAACCACAACCATCAGCCACAAAGCATTTAAGCTGCTTTGTGCAGCGTTTAAGCTCGTCTGATGACCTATAAAACAATAGAATGGAAATTGGCAGGAAAACAAATCAGATAAAAATCGAAATGTCTTTAAAATCGCAATGCCTTTCAATAACAATATCATCATCAGCCATTTCTGTCACTGAAAATAATGGAATTTGGCTGTTTTTTTTTTGCTATTTTTCCCTCCACTCAAATAAGCATCAATTTTAAATAAGCATCAATAACGAGTGTGTTTACGAGTTGAATTATGAAGACCAAATATCTTGGGAATAGCTGAAATAGTGGACATGGCCATTTTTTCAGTAATCGGACCCTGTTAGCCATTGTTTTACAGCTGAAATATTGCAGATGGGGCTTTTTGTTTTAATGTATCGAGAGAATTAGCTGCTATTTTGAATGTGTCTATTGTAGAAGTGCAAGTCAGTCCTCAAGATGAAACAACATCCAGTGTGAATTTGAATGTGGATTCCAGTTCCGGTGACGTCACTGCAGCCACTGCTGTCTACACAGACAAAAATGGGACACCTCAAACCGTAGGTGGTACTGTAACAGGATCTGCTGTCTCGATTGCTGTGATTACTCTGGAAGGAGGAACCAAGTATACAGCAGAGATCAATGGAGTTACTGTTACTTATACGGGAGATAATCTTCCGACAAATCATTCGTGGGCTGCGGACAGTGTCGAATTCTGTTCGAGTCAGTATTTTGTTTCATTTAAAATTTCTGTGATAGGAATCGTGAATGAACTATAAATTTATTCCACGACTTTTTTGCGTGCATTACAGCGTAACTTAACTTCCACATCTAGCTATGTTTGTGATCACCAGAGTTGCGTGATGACCATGACACGACAGTAGTTACTGTCTCACATCACTTCTCAACTTATGTCAACTAAAATAATATCAAGGGAATGTAAATAGTAAAATTGAATGTAAATCGAGTAAAATATGAAGTGTTGCATTTCAGTCTTGCAAGACTGCGGAATAAAGACACTATATGTAATCAGTTCCACAAGAATAAGCTAAACAATGCTAAAAAATCAGTAGTGGGTTCAACTGTTTCAGAACCCAAGCCAGTTCAGACTGTGGCTCTAACTGCGGATACAACTCCGTCATTGGATTCGGTCAGTTTGACGGTGACATTGTTGGGTGCCCCTGTCAATGCAGATTCAGTGATGAAGATAAAGCCCACTTGTGGGACAACAGCAGAATCCGAACAAGACTGTTCTGCATCTCCCACCTGTACTGTGTCTCCCTTGAGTGTTGCGGGGTGTGAGTACACGATGGCTGTGCGGATGGTGTGTGAAGTGTCTGGTCACGATGCAGTTGATAGTGAGCTTGTAACCTTCAGCACATGCACAAGTTAGTAATTGCATATCAGAGTTGCCAATTACATTTGCATATGATGAATTACTAGTCTTTATTTCTGTGCATGGTAATTATACGCATTTTGCCTCTCCTCCTTGTGCAAGCTCAATTTATGCATTCAGGAAGAATTTGTTCGGTAGATTGAGGATTAGAATAGGCGCTAAAGAGCTCCGGATTCAACACAGGGCTGGCCCAAATTTAATTCGACCACTTTGGAATGTTTCAGAACCAGTTCCGCCGAACTTGGGTGCGATATCTGCAATAGAGACTGCCGCCTTCTCAATTGCTGGCATCTCTGTTGCGAGTGGATTTGCCTCCAAGTACTCGATTAGCATCAGGTGTAACCAAACAGCTACCCCTGATGCCGAAGTATGGGGAAACTCGAATATTACTGACGGCTCGGCAGCTATAGCTGTGGATAGTTTGGTTCCAGGATGCAAACACGAGATAACAATTGCTTCTTTCTGTGTGGTTGAAGGTGACCCTTCAAAGGATACAAAAAGCGAGGACAAGATCGTCTATCAGTGTACAAGTAAGAGTGTTTACTATTTTCTTAAGAAAAAGAATTATTGAAGAAGATTTAATTTATTGCTAGAACGATTTTGGAGCTTTTTTGTTCTGACCGCTTCACTGAAAGTGATGAAAAGGAGATACGAATTAGCCAGTGTTTTTCCTCAAATTTGACTATCCCGGAAAAACTCGGAGGTGGTCAAGTACAGTATCATATTAAAGCCCTATTGGTCGAGATCTGGATTCTAAAAGAAACCGACGAAATGGTTTTCTCCGTCTCGAGAAAAATTGGTCTTAACTTTGCCTTTGTACAGTATAATTAACATATTTTTGTATTGTTTAATCGGTGAGACAAATAATGGCTTCTTACGCTTACGATAATCAAACGTTATCAAACTGGAGTATAGACTTTTTTTCCAGCTAACAACTAATTTAACAAAGTCAGTTGAATCACTTGCTGACTTCTTTTCCCTTCTCGTAATATCTTCCAGGCTGCTTCCCCCTTGGCCTAGAGGTAAATCAGTTGCCTTTGTACCCTAAAATCTAGGGTTCGAGTCGTGGCCGAACCTTGTTTTTTTTCAGTATGAAGAAAATTGGGAAAAATTCAGAGAAACTTGAATTGTTGGTTTTTATTTTGTCCGCTCAAGTTTTTTCGGCCGAATTGACATAGGATTTTGCGTGTGATGTAGAAAATTTTCATTTTAATTTCAAATGCAAATGTTGTTCATTCTAATTTTAAGGGGGGGGGGGGGGTGCTTGAAAGATTAAAAAAACCATAATTTTTTCCCGGTTTTGTTGGTGTCTGTTCGAAGATTGTCGGCTTAGTTGCCACATCACTGATTTTTTGCTGTGAGCAACTTTTATTGTAGTTACAAGTTCAAGTGCTGTTCATTCTAGTTTCAAGGGGTAGTTGAAAATTTGAAAAAAGTCAAAAAATCTTTTTTTTTTGTTTATTTGGTTTCAGCTTAAAAGTTGTTGGCTTAGTTGCCACATCACTGATTTTTCTTGTGCTGGAAGCAACTTTCATTGTAGTTGCAATTGCAAGTGTTGTACATTGTTGTTTAAGGTGGGACTTAAACTTTTTTTTTCTAAAATCATAGTTTTTCCGGCTCAACTTGTGTAAACTTAAAGATTATCGGCTTTGTTTCGTTTCGTAAATTTTGTTCCGTTGTTCCTGATTGAAATTTCAAGTGTCTAAAGCATTTGTCGGGAATGAATTTCTATCGAGACATATGAAAGTTTATATGACCTAGTTTTTTTGAAAAATATTCATTTTTTTGCCTTTTTTATATTTATGATGTATCGCAAGTGGGGCGAAGATCCGCTCCGCCTCTGTGTATAATTCTACTGCACTTTTAACCTTTTCAGCCGTTATCACCGAAAAATATTGTTTTATTGAACCCACAACGCAACGCTTAAAAATAGTTTTTTTTAAAAAATTTTTTACATTAGTGAGCTAGCGAGCGTAAGCATAGCTTAATAGTATGACTCTTCTTTCTTTATTTCCATACTAACTCGCAAAAAAAAATATTCATATGCTCGCTCCAATTTCAAACTCTGAAAAACCTAAAAAAATCCAACTCAAACAGTTGAATGAACAAGAAATATTTCTCGGCAAGTAACTCCGCTTGAAGGATAATTTCTAAGTCGTTCATAGCATCAACAATTTACAATTTAAAATGTAAAGCAAGCTCTCAAAACACTGGTATTTCTCCTTGAGACAAATTGAGCTGTTTTTGGAGGTCAGACTTAATCATAATCAAGCCTGAACCGAGTTACTGAGAAAAAACGGTAAAAATTGGGGTATCACACCCTATGTCAGTATGTTATAACATGGGTAGGTGGGGGCTCGAACTCACGCAAACCAGTCGACCTTATTTCTAGCATTTGTCTTAGACCGCTTGGATGAACTTTCTTTGTTTCATGCCTTTATACGTTCACGCTCCACCACCAAAGACAGGAACTGGAATGAGGAACTGGAACGGTCGATCGGGTAAATTTGCTGTCTTCGGTCGGCCGGGTAGTTGTCCTAACGAGAACGGAACGTGCGCATCCGTGTCTTCGGAGGGTAAAAATTTCACGAGCAATCGTCTTCAATCGACCATACAAGATCAACCGTCTTGAGAACAACGTCAGATTGGGTGTTCCACCTCGCACGCTTGTTAAGTTAAGGGGCATACTCCCGTAGCCAACGTAACCATATAACGTCAGCGTACGACTGCGCTCCTACGTACATTTTCTTATGATTGAATTATTCCCCAGAAAAGAGCGAAGGAAAGCTTGCGGCGTACTGCCCAAGCAAAAAGTGACTGGGGGCTAAAGCTTCTAAATCACGCGAATCGGTAGTTAACGGAGTGATTGGTCTTGCAATCAAGACCTGCTCAACTAAGTAGAGTGTCGTTCTCAACACTTTTTCTGTTACCCGCCTACTGCCTAGTATATCGTGGAGCACAAGCTTAAAGCTACGACCGAGGAACTACCAAGAACCCCCATGGTGAGGTTCACTGAGTGTGTTAAATTCCAGGCTATACATTTTTGCTCAAAGACGGTTGGAGCCATGTGGTTCCAGTTCTTGATGTAGGCAACTGTTCCTTTTCCGTACCCACAAAGCTGGACCCGCAGCTTCGCCTCTGTGTTGAGCTAATGTTCCGTCTGAGAGATGGGACGGAATGTTGTATTAGGGTGTGTCTTTTTGCTCGAAAAGAGGTACAGTAGTTTTCTTGCAGGATATATTATGCAACTTTGAACTAACTAGTAGTAACCTGCTGGTAACTTCGCCCATGGACATAGGCGGATTCTATGGACAAAAAGAAGAAAACGAGGACCACACTTAGATCAATGAAACCTAGACGAGGCGACAAAATGAGAAGTCAGCTTGCAAAGACTGAAAGAGACCAACAATATGAAGTCAGCTTGCAAAGACACCAACAATATGTTCACACCGATGCCCCAGAAAATGTGATTCAACAAAATGAAAGTCCAGTCGAACTACCTGAGATCATCAATCCCATTACGCTGGTCAAAATTGCAACGCACAGCGAGGCCAGCGAAATTAATAAGAAATATACTGAAGCGCATAAATGGTCTCAACAGCTGGTGTGATTTCCAAATTCAAACCTCCTTCGTAAGCGTGCTACCTTTAGAAGAGGCGCTGACATAAGCACGAAAACCTTATCACTGGAAACGGTGTTTCCTCTTCTACGACTGGTCCACCGCTTAGCAGATGCGATATCACAATGGCTAGAATGTCTATCTATCAAACATCAGTGGTAATCGATCTTTGCAATTCAATCCGAAGCTCAAAACAGAGGTGTAGCTACAGTAAAAACAACCAGTACTATCAAGCAAAAAGAAAAACAACAAGGATAGTGACCATTCATAAAAAAATGGTCCATTCATTCAATTTGAAGCCCTTTTTGCGCGTGTGGCGATGAGAATACGAACATTTGATACGAACAGATCGTGTGAAGAGTCGGTAATTTAGGCATAATCGAGATCAGTTGTTTTCGCGTAAAAATGACAAACCCCGAAACTATGAAAAAAATCAAACTTGTTCAAAAAATATTCTATTTTTTGCAGAATAATTGTTTTGTTTTAAAACCTTTTTATTGCTAAAAAAGCGCTATTTTTTAGCTTCCAAAACAAGTACTCCTGGAAAAACACGAAGTTTTCTGCTGTTTACATTTTTCACTTGTAGTCTAATTCTTGTGATAAATTAATTAAATGGTTTCTTGTTAGATGTATCGACAAACCTGATTATAACTAGGTAGCTCTTGATTACGAGGGAGGGTCTGCTTCGTGAAAACCTATCTCAGCTCGTACAAGCAGAAAGGTAATGCTGACAAATCTCAACAAGTTTATGATTCACTTCGTGAATCTATTGACAACCTTGAAAAACTGTGGCGACACCCAACCACGAGCCCAAAAGAAGTAACCCCAATTTAATCAAAAAAGGTGATGAAACCTTGCATGAGTTAGCAGTGCTAACCATGACGTGAAACAGATCAAGAAACAAAATGAACTTACTAAACTTCTTATTCAGAAGTCAGTCCGAGACACAATCTGTCAGCTAAGGGTTGGCAGCCCACCAAAAGATATACATGGAGCCAACAGCGGTACCAAGGTCAACCAAGAAATTTCAAAGGTCGAAGAAGTGTACTTCTCACTGTTAACAGCGTTAAGGAATCCAAGAAATCAAGGAAGCCAAGGCGGTTACCCTGAAACCTTCTGAGAAATGTAGAGTGTATCTCTCTGCTGGTCTTTCACCTCAAAACTACAGCATTCTGTGGAACAACAAGTTTCGAAAAGAATAAGATGTGAACTGCTCAACAGAGATATCCAACCTGGTCGCATCCGCTTCAAAAACCTGAAATTTTTCTCGTACAGCAATGAAATTACAGATCTTTCAAGTGATGACCGAAACATGAGCACAAACTGACTAGACTCGACCGAACTCATTGTTTTCTGCTTCACTGCTCGTAGTCTTTTTAACTCAGGGATTCGACCCTCTGCCTACCTAAAGGGTCCCCCTTTGATACTTTTTAAGAAATCCAGTTTTGGCCGACCAACCGGCGCCAATATATACTAATTTTGAGTGGGGAGCGGGCGCCGAAAAAACGCGATTTTTTGTTCAACATTTTCCAAAAAGTGCCTAAAAACGCCTTTTTTGGGCTGTTTTTCAAATTTTTGCCTGCGGCGCAAAAAATTTGGCCAAAACAGGGACTAAATCGTGCTTAGGGAGAGCTCAAAAAATCAATTCGGTCGACCTAAAAAAAAGGTCGACAAAATTTTCGAAAATTTTTTGAAAATCCGCCCCCCCCCTCGAGAAAATCCTAGATCCGCCCCTGAATCCACCCAATGAGTCGAATTGTTTATGGAAGTCGCTGAAATGATTGAAGTCGTTGAAAATGTGGCAAATGGTTTGTGCATTCTCTTGATTGGAGATCTAAACTTAGCTGCTGCATCCTGGGAGAATATGTCCAGTCCACTGTTCAATGAACATGTGAGTTATAACCGAGGTGG